GCGAGACCCAGAGTGTTGTGAGACCCGGAGTGTTGGTGAGACCCACAGTGTTGGTGAGACCCTGAGTGTTGGTGAGACCCAGAGTGTTGGTGAGACCCAGAGTGTTGGTGAGACCCAGAGTGTTGGCGAGACCCAGAGTGTTGGCGAGACCCAGAGTGTTGGCGAGACCCAGAGTGTTGGTGAGACCCAGAGTGTTGGTGAGACCCTGAGTGTTGGTGAGACCCACAGTGTTGGTGAGACCCACAGTGTTGGTGAGACCCACAGTGTTGGTGAGACCCGGAGTGTTGGTGAGACCCGGAGTGTTGGTGAGACCCACAGTGTTGGTGAGACCCACAGTGTTGGTGAGACCCACAGTGTTGGTGAGACCCCACAGTGTTGGTGAGACCCACAGTGTTGGTGAGACCCACAGTGTTGGAGAGACCCACAGTGTTGGTGAGACCCACAGTGTTGGTGAGACCCACAGTGTTGGTGAGACCCACAGTGTTGGTGAGACCCACAGTGTTGGTGAGACCCACAGTGTTGGTGAGACCCACAGTGTTGGTGAGACCCACAGTGTTGGTGAGACCCACAGTGTTGGTGAGACCCACAGTGTTGGTGAGACCCACAGTGTTGGTGAGACCCACAGTGTTGGTGAGACCCAGAGTGTTGGTGAGACCCACAGTGTTGGTGAGACCCAGAGTGTTGGTGAGACCCACAGTGTTGGTGAGACCCACAGTGTTGGTGAGACCCAGAGTGTTGGTGAGACCCACAGTGTTGGTGAGACCCACAGTGTTGGTGAGACCCACAGTGTTGGTGAGACCCACAGTGTTGGTGAGACCCACAGTGTTGGTGAGACCCACAGTGTTGGTGAGACCCACAGTGTTGGTGAGACCCGGAGTGTTGGTGAGACCCGGAGTGTTGGTGAGACCCACAGTGTTGGTGAGACCCACAGTGTTGGTGAGACCCAGAGTGTTGGTGAGACCCACAGTGTTGGTGAGACCCAGAGTCATTAGGAGTGTCACTTCTCTTGCATGATTTGGTCTTCATTGTGTTAGTGAGGCCTACACTATATGGGACTTGTGCTAGTGAGGAATCTCTTTGTATTGGACTTGCGCTATAATGGTTTTCCTTACACTATATGGGACTTGTGCTAACAAGGCTTCTCTTGCATAATATGGGACTTCAATAGTGGTAGTGAGGTTGGTCTTGCATTGGACTTGGATTATCTTGCAAAGTGGACGCTGGAATTGGATTTTGTGCAAGGTGAAGATTGGAATGGGATCGTCTACACAAGGTGAAGGGCCAGGGGAAGGCATGACTGACTGACCCATAATGCATCTAGCCATAAACAATGGGGGTCATAATCAAGGCGACGTAACTATCAAAACAGAGGTCCGAAACCAAGGGAGTCAAATGAGAGACATAGTAGATTGAAGATGGTTAAAGGTAAACAATTGTTTGGAACATAGATATATATGAATGAGAAAATACCGCCAATAACACCACAAAAGCAATTTTTTTGGAGAATATTTTCTAAATTTCTACATGAATGATGAACTCCAAGTCGAAGTGGGAGATTAGGGAGTGGGGGAGCGTGGGAGATTAGGGAGTGGGGAAGCATGGGGAAACAGAAAGGGGGGGGGATGGGGGGGAGACGGAAAACAAGAATAGAGCGGATGGGGGAGGGGGTGTGTGGGTGGTGGGGGGGGGGGAGGTATACGAGGTGCAGATATGCAACTCGGAACCCATGCATCTTCATTATTCCGGGTCATATTCCAGTACTCGGCATTAGGGTCAGGTTCCGGCGGTGTGTTTATATAAAGACGGTATAGGGGGAGAGGGGGGAAGGGGGGAGGGGGAGAGGGAAGTGGGGGAGGGGGGGGATAGACGGGAGGAGAAAGACTGGAGAGGGGGAGGGGGGGGATAGACGGGAGGAGAAAGACTGGAGAGGGAAAGGACGGCAGGTGGATAGAGGGTTGTAGGGACGAGAAAAAGGGTAAGAGAAAGGGGAAGGATAGAGGAGGGGGGGGGAAGGGACGAGGGACGGTGCTATAGAGGGAGAGGCGGGGACACCGAGGACACACTATGTATCCCCTCCCCCCCTCCATATACTGTAGTCCAGGCCAGGTGTATAAATAAAAAGGCAGGTGTACCTAGATGTGTTAATAGTGAACCAGAGAGGGATGACCTGGAGAGGTATTGTGTGTCATGACCATAGTGTGCAGGGAACACACTGGTGCGTGCCTGTGCTCGCACCCGCACGCTTTTGTGCGCGGTCGAGATTAAGCTCCTAATCCCTGCCCTTTCAGCTCTCGGCTAATGAAATTACTCGCTTTTCTCATTCAAAAATTCTCTGATAGCGTGTAGAGAATTTTTTCCGGAAAAATATTCAAATGTATCCCGTTCCATCAACTTAAAAAAATCTTAGAAATAAAATATTGTAGCCGACGTTATCCAAGGTGCATTTGCATCTCCAACTTTTATCCATGTTCCTCTGTTTCTCATTCTCAACATTGCTCCTTTGTTTACTTTGAGGTTATCCTTTTTTTTCCTGCTCCTTTGGCTCAAGGTGAAGTGCAGTTCTGTGGCGTCTGTTAATGTGCCCCAATTATCGTAATATTGTTGACTATAGGACTTGTTGCCTATCTCGGTGCTTTTCCTTTATACGCACGCACGCTCTCTCTCTATATATATAATATATATATTATATATAGAGAGAGCAAAGGGATGAGGTTAAGATGAACCCCCCCCCACTAATGGGCCAATAGGCTCATTACAGCTATCCAATCTCCTATGTTTCCCATGATGGCTTCGTCAGCATATGGTTGGTCGTGTTATCTTAGCCAGCGGAATGAAATATGGTGTTAGTTAGGTGTTGATACATGGCTTAGTTTGGCATATAATAATACCTAGCCTATGTCCAGTCTTTCGGACTTGCTGTATTTGTATTTGTTGACTGTATTTGTATAAATACAGCAAATACGGGCTGTATTTATTGATTATTTTTGTACCGTTCGTCAGGATCTCTCTAGTCATGATATTGTAAGCAGCAACAGCTTGTCCTGCTGCTGCTGCTGCTGCTCCCTGCTGCTGCTGCTCCTGCTGCTGCTGCTGCTGCTGCTGCTGCTGCTGCTGCTGCTGCTGCTGCTCCTGCTGCTGCTGCTGCTGCTGCTCCTGCTGCTGCTGCTGCTGCTGCTTATTAAGCTGCACATCAGCTCACATTTACTAAATAATTCATATCTGTAAATTTTGGGTACTTTTTACTATTTTAATTTAAATAATTAATATTTATTGTATCTTTAAACTCTTCGTAATTCCTTTTTTAATAATAATCAGGTTTCTAAACCGTTAATCATGTTTCCGTTGCTAATATAAGTGTTTTTACCGCAATACTCAAATATGACGCATTTTCTTATGGTCAGCAATATTTACATTGCAGGATAATATTGTGTGTGTTTGTCAAGGAATAAATAATGACCAGACGGAGGTTGAGTCCAGGGCGCTGGGTGAGATGGAAGGGGGGAGGGAGGGGGTGGGAGGGACGGATGTAGGGAGGAAGGGGGTGGGATGGAGGGATGTCGAGAGGGAGGGGGTGGGATGTAGGGAGGGAGGGGGTGGGATGTAGGGAAGGAGGGCTATGTAGGGAGGTATGTAGGGTGGGAGAGAGGTATGAAGGGTGGGAGGGAGGTATGTAGGGAGGGAGGGAAGGGGTGAGATGGAGGGATGTAGGGAGGGAGCGGGTGGGATGGAAGGAAAGAGCCAGAGAGAAAGGAGGAAGATAAAAAACCAGTCCATCCTCCTGTTCAGACAGTACTTACAGTAACGTCGAGGAACCACCGTACATATACTTACGTAACGGCCAATTAGACAGTAGAATTTGGTGCTATTGAACTTGGACAAACCGGAAATGGTTCTGCATTTAGCCTGCTAATAACAAACGTAACGTAACCGCTCCTGGGCCTAATATACATAGCTATCCGAGGCCTTATATAGTACATATCCGCGCTATACTAGACCTAAGCCTCCTATACTATTCAAGTTTGAACTTTATTTTCCCGGAGTCTATAAAATGAATATTACCAAATTCTTCCATCTCATTGTCCATAACGTCAGTGTATGAACGATGATCCACAGTTACAAAAAGTAGTGCCGAAACAGCACGATGGTTTGGTGAAAGAGAGAGAGGAGGAGAGGTAGGAAGACGGGGAAGGAAGGGAGGGAGACGGGGAAGGAAGGGAGGGAGAGGGCAGGATACGGGGTAAGGGAGAGAAGGAGAAAGGGGTGAGGGATGGAGAGAGAATGAAATAGAGAGAGAGGAAAAGAGAAAGGATGGGAAGGGATGAAGAGGGAAAGGAAGTTAGAAAGTGAGAGGGTAGTCATGGGGTATTCTACACATTTAACCTGAACACTACATATACATTGTATTTCACTACATATACATTGTATTCTCTCTTGTATTTCTCTCAATCCAAGAGAGAAAATGGCAGTTGCCACGAGGCAAATTGCACTGCCCTGCAACAGTACCTCCCCGACCTGGGGGTAGGGTACAGCAAGCTACATTTGCGGCCGAGACAACACAAGCAATAATCATCCATAAATGGAATGCAATTGCACACTCGGGCCAGGAATGCAGATGAGCGATTAAAAGCTCTACAGGAATTCACTGACGAATTGGCTATCTTGGGGAAGATATCCGGATCTTCAATGGTCAGGAAGAGCCACGTGTTGAGCCTGCACTTCCACTCTTGTTCCAAGACACTTGGAGCCCCCAAGGGGCCTCTCACATCTCGACAGCAGCGGTTGCAAAACCTTTATATGAAGCACACGTTCTCTCCGGGAGGTACGAGGCCAGGGTACGAGGTCAGGGGGGCACGAGGTCTGGGGGGCACGAGGTCAGGGGTGTACGAGGTCAGGGGGGTACGAGGTCTGGGGGGTACGAGGTCAGGGGGGCACGAGGTCAGGGGGGCACGAGGTCAGGGGGGTACGAGGTCAGGGGGGCACGAGGTCAGGGGGGCACGAGGTCAGGGGGGCACGAGACCGAGGTCGGTGCCGGGGGCACGAGGCCGAGGTCGGTGCCGGGGGCACGAGGCCGAGGTCGGTGCCGGGGGCACGAGGCCGAGGTCGGTGCCGGGGGCACGAGGCCGAGGTCGGTGCCGGGGGCACGAGGCCGAGGTCGGTGCCGGGGGCACGAGGCCGAGGTCGGTGCCGGGGGCACGAGGCCGAGGTCGGTGCCGGGGGCACGAGGCCGAGGTCGGTGCCGGGGGCACGAGGCCGAGGTCGGTGCCGGGGGCACGAGGCCGAGGTCGGTGCCGGGGGCACGAGGCCGAGGTCGGTGCCGGGGGCACGAGGCCGAGGTCGGTGCCGGGGGCACGAGGCCGAGGTCGGTGCCGGGGGCACGAGGCCGAGGTCGGTGCCGGTGGCACGAGGCCGAGGCCAGTGCCGGTGGCACGAGACCGAGGCCAGTGCCGGGGGCACGAGGCCGAGGCCAGTGCCGGGGGCACGAGGCCGAGGCCGGTACCAGGGGCACGAGACCGAACACTACAAAGCTCATAAGCCCCATTTAAATAACAATCCCAACTTCCGGTCATTAACGAGGCAATTAGTTGTGGTTGTCGGGGTGAGCGAAGCGTTGATTTATGGGATGGAGTTAATGATTAACGGGAGGGAAGCGTTAACGTAAAGGAAGCATTGCTTAACGGAAGGGAAACTTTGATTAACGGGGGGGAAACATTGACTAACGGGATGGAAGTGTAGATCAACGGAAAGGAGGCTGATTAACGGAATGGAAGAATTAACGGGAGGAAATCATTGATTAACGAGAAGAAAGCATTACCAGATGGAATGCATTGATTAACGAGAGGGAAAGTAGTGAGCAACACCACCCACCACACACAACAAACACCACTCACCACACACAACAAACACCACTCACCACACACAACACCACACACAACAAACACCACTCACCACACACAACAAACACCACCCACCACACACAACAAACACCACTCACCACACACAACAAACACCACTCACCACACACAACAAACACCACTCACCACACACAACAAACACCACTCACCACACACAACAAACACCACCCACCACACACAACAAACACCACTCACCACACACAACAAACACCACTCACCACACACAACAAACACCACTCACCACACACAACAAACACCACACCACACACAACACCACACACAACAAACACCACTCACCACCACAAACAAACACCACCCACCACACACAACAACACCACCACCACACAACACCACACACAACAAACACCACTCACCACACACAACAAACACCACACACAACAAACACCACACACAACAACACCACACACAACAAACACCACTCACACACACAACAAACACCACTCACCACACACAACAAACACCCACCACTCACCACACACAACAAACACCACACACCACACACAACACACCACACACACACACAACAAACACACTCACCACACACAACAAACACACCCACCACACACAACAAACACACACCACACACAACAAACACACCACCACACACACAACAAACACCACTCAAACACACACAACACAACACCACTCACCACACAAACCAAACACCACTCACCACACACAACAAACACCACTCACCACACACAACAAACACCACTCACCACACACAACAAACAACACCACCACCACACACAACAAACACCACTCACCACACACAACAAACACCACCCACCACACACAACAAACACCACCCACCACACACAACAAACACCACCCACCACACACAACAAACACCACTCACCACACACAACAAAACACCACCCACCACACACAACAAACACCACCCACCACACACAACAAACACCACCCACCACACACAACAAACACCACCCACCACACACAACAAACACCACTCACCACACACAACAAACACCACACACCACACACAACAAACACCACTCACCACACACAACAACACACCACCACACACACCAAACACACTCACAACAAACACCACTCACCACACACAACAACAAACACCACCCACCACACACAACAAACACCACCCACCACACACAACAAACACCACCCACCACACACAACAAACACCACCCACCACACACAACAAACACCACCCACCACACACAACAACACCACCCACCACACACCACAACAAACACCACTCACCACACACAACAAACACCACACACAACACACACAACACCACACACAAACACCACACACAACAAACACACCACCACACCACACACAACAAACACCACCACACCACACACAACAAACACCACACACCACACACAACAAACACCACTCACCACACACAACAAACACCACCCACCACACACAACAAACACCACACACAACAAACACCACTCACCACACACAACAAACACCACACACAACAAACACCACTCACCACACACAACAAACACCACTAACCACACACAACAACACCACACACCACAACACAACACTAACCACACACAACAAGCACCACACACAACAAACACCACTCACAACAAACACTACACACAACACAACACCACTCACACACAACAAACACCACTCACACACACAACACACCACACAAACACCACACACCACACACAACAAACACCACTCACCACACACAACAAACACCACCTCACCACACACAACAAACACCACTCACCACACACAACAAACACCACCCACCACACACAACAACACCACACACCACACAACACACACACACACACACACACACCACACACCACACACAACACACACCACTCACCACACACACACAAACACCACCCACCACACACAACAAACACCACCCACCACACACAACAAACACCACCCACCACACAAACACCACACACCACAAACACCACACACCACACACAACACACACACCACACACTCAACACACACACAACAAACACCACTCACCACACACAACAAACACCACCCACCACACACAACAAACACCACTCACCCACACACACAACAAACACCACTCACCACACACAACAAACACCACCACCACACACAACAACACCACCCACCACACACAACAAACACCACACACACACACAAACACCACACCACACACACAACAAACACCACACACAACACACACACACACCACTCACCACACACAACAAACACACACACACACACACAACAAACACCACACACACAAACACCACACCACACACAACAAACACCACACACCACACACAACAACACCACTCACCACACACAACAAACACCACACACCACACACAAACACACACAACACACACCACAACACCACACACAACAAACACCACTCACCACACACAACAAACACACACACAACACCAAACACCACTCACCACACACAACAAACACCACACCACACACAACACACACCACACACAACAAACACCACTCACAACAAACACTACACACAACAAACACCACTCACTACACACAAACACCACTCACCACACACAACAAACACCACCCACCACACACAACAAACACCACACCACACACACAAACACCACTCACCACACACAACAAACACCACACACAACAAACACCACTAACCCCACACAAACACCACTCACCACACACAACAAACACTACCCACCACACGCAACAAACACCACTCACCACACACAACAAACACCACTCACCACACACAACAACACTCACCACACACAACAAACACCACTCACCACACACAACACCACTCACCACACACAACAAACACCACACACAACAAACACCACACACAACAAACACCACTCACCACACAACAAACACCACCCAGCACACACAACAAACACCACACACAACAACACACCACACACAACAAACACCACACACAACAACACCACACACAACACACCACACACAAAACACCACACCAAAAACACCACACACCAAACACCAACACCACACACCACACACACAAACACCACACACAAACACCACACACAAACACCACACACAACAAACACCACTCACCACACACAGCAAACACCACTCACCACACAACAAACACCACCCACCACACACAACAAACACCACTCACACCCCCCAACAAACACCACCCATAACACACAACAACCACCACTCACCACACACAACAAACACCACTCACCACACACAACACCACTCACCACACACAACAAACACCACTCACCACACACAACAAACACCACTAACCACACACAACAAACACCACCCACCACACAACAAACACCACTCACCACACACAACAAACACCACTCACCACACACAACAAACACCACTCACCACACACAACAAACACCACTAACCACACACAACAAACACCACCAACCACACACAACAAACACCACCAACCACACACAACAAGCACCACCCACCACACACAACACAACCCCACTCACCACACACAACAAACACCACTAACCACACACAACAAACACCACTCACCTCACAACAAACACCACTCACCACACACAACAAACACCACTAACCACACACAACAAACACCACCAACCACACACACAACAACACACAACCACCAACCACACACAACAAACACCACCCACCACACACAACAAACACCACCCACCACACACAACAAACACCACACACCACACACAACAAACACCACTCACCACACACAACAAACACCACCCACCACACACAACAAACACCACTCACCACACACAACAAACACCACTCACCACACACAACAAACAAAACTCACCACACACAACACCACTCACCACACACAACAAACACCACTCACCACACACAACAAACACCACCAACCACACACAACAAACACCACCCACCACACACAACAAACACCACTCACCACACACAACAAACACCACTCACCACACACAACAAACACCACTCACCACACACAACAAACACCACCCACCACACACAACAAACACCACTCACCACACACAACAAACACCACTCACCACACACAACACAACTCAAACAAACCACTCACCACACAACAACACCACACACAAACACCACACACAACAAACACCACTCACCACACACAACAAACACCACTCACCACACACAACAAACACCACTCACCACACACAACAAACACCACTCACCACACACAACAAACACCACTCACCACACACAAAAAACACCACTCACCACACACAACAAACACCACTCACCACACACAACAAACACCACTCACCACACACAACAAACACCACCTCACCACACACAACAAACACCACTCACCACACACAACAAACACCACTCACCACACACAACAAACACCACCCACCACACACAACAAACACCACTCACCACACACAACAAACACCACCCACCACACACAACAAACACCACCCACCACCACACACCACACCCACACCACACACAACAAACACCACACCCACCACACACAACAAACACCACCCACCACACACAACAAACACCACCCACCACACACAACAAACACCACCCACCACACACAACAAACACCACCCCACCCACACAACAAACACCACTCACCACACACAACAAACACCACCCACCACACACAA